AAACCGATATATTGGCCTTATGGGCCTTACTATATTGATATTGGTAAAGTTAGAACTTTTTATTTTATTATTTTTTCTTTTCAATATCTTCCAAATTTTCTAGTAATCTCTTTGAACCGATACAACGGCCTCTTTCACATTGAATGTTATTTTTATTTTTAGTAAATGTGTCAATCAAACATCAACGGGTCTGCTTAAACATACATTTGAACAAAAACCGATATATCAGTCTTATAAATTATAACTTTTATTTTTTTTTTATTCATATTTATTTTTACTCGTCCTCTCGACAGATTTTCATCAGATACGGATATCCTAAAGACTGAGTTTTACTTTACTGATATTACTGCCTCTTTCACATTAAATGTTATTTTTATTTATAGTAAATGTGTCAATCAAACGTCAACGGGTCTGCATATACATACATTTGAACAAAAACCGATATATCAGCCTTATGACTTTATTTGATTGAGATTGGTGAAATTAGAACTGTTATTTTATATTTTTTGCTCATCCTCTCTCCAGATTTACATCAGATACGGATATTCTAAAAACTGAGTTTTACTTTACCGATATATTGGCCTCTTTCACATTGAGTATTATTTTTATTAATAATAAATGTGTCAATAAAACGTAAATGGGTCTGTATATAAATAAATTTAAACAGAGGCCGATATATTGATCTCATGTCCTTATTTTATTGAGATGGGTTGACTTTGAAAATATTTTATTTAATTTTTTTTTCTAGTTTGAGCAGATTCGCAGAGTTTAACTATTGGTTGTTTTTTTGCACCTCTTCTAAATTTTTTTTTTTTTACTGAAAAGCGACCTTTAAATTTACTTTATCAAGATTCAATGAGCTTTACTTGGAGCCGCGGGAATTTACGTTCTCACTTAAAGCTACCAAGTACAAACATAAACGAAAGGTATGACGATAAATGGGTCTTTCGAGGTCTCCAGCTACCGGGAATTTCTCGAAAAGTGGGAATTGTACGTGAATTTCTCATATACGGGAAAATTCGGGGAAATGTACAAATGTTTTTTTTTTTTTGTTTATTGTGCTCACCTTTTTTTTATTTTTTCCTTTGTGATTTTTCTTATATCCTTTTGTGATAAATAAGATTTTTCTTTGTATTGAAGAATATCCACTAATTATAAATGTGAATTAGCGAGAAAATATAATTTAGAATAAGAGGTAAGTTTATATTCATTCTCTGTCCCTTAGTATGAAACTTTTCATTCCAAAAATTCATAAACCTGTCAAAAACTGCCCCCTCAAAAATTCAAAAACTCGTCAAAATATGCCCCCTCAACAATTTTGTTGGCGCGACTTGCGCCATGGAACCCCCTTCTGAGCACCCCTGACGGTATCGGCCACAATTTCGATATTGGTTGATCTCTAATATATATATATATATATATATATATATATATATATATATATATATATATATATATATATATATATATAACGGTAATTACTATGTAAGGAAAATAGAAAAACTAACTACTTGTATGAAACGGCGTTGTAGTGATTCATGATGTCATCTACACCAACCATTACTTGTTTAAGGCCACTGATAACCATTTACACTAATTGCTTCATAAATTAGTTTTGAACCTTTTGCAGGCATGCCCGGCTAGCTCAGTCGGTAGAGCATGAGACTCTTAATCTCAGGGTCGTGGGTTCGAGCCCCACGTTGGGCGGATAATTTTTACATACTTCCGCAAAATAGAAGAAATGATTGTGAAAATATAATACAGGATTAAATAATAAAACTTTGACTTATACTTCACAATTAAATTTGATATATTTTTTTAGCTATAATCAATTATAAAAAAAAAGGACGTATTCAATATTGCTATAATATGTTCGTAAATTGTTACAAAAATTCGCAATATATAAATTTAAATATTTTTTAAATTTATATCTATACATAGAGTCCCGTAAGTATTAGGAAATATTTAAAGTAGTAGGCTTTAGGGGCTTTATAAAAGTTGTTATAAAAAATATGGTCCGAGTTTCTGCAGAAATGCAAGTATATATATCCTAGATGATAGATCTAGGACTTTTATTCAGTAATTACGAGAATTTTCTATGCGACGTTGTATGGAACCAGATATATAGGAACGAAAGGCTGATATGCTGAAATATAGGTTTATCTCTCTTTTATCCGTCAAAATTTGCTTACAGGGCGATACATAGATGGTCTATTTATTTATTTATTTAGCAATAAGTAGGATATTCCATGTGGAACTGTATAAATCTTGATGTAAAGGGGGGGAGGAAAGGGCTAAAATATATATATATATATATATATATATATATATATATATATATATATATTTTGGCCAGATGTGGTTTTTTATTTTTTTTTGTTCATATCTGTTATTTATAAGGGACCTCGTCCCAGAATAAAGTTTACTTTCTATCTGTCTGTATATATGTAGACTATACAAGAACAATAATAGTTTTAGATATTTTTTTCCTTAAACATGGTTAATTTTTATATTATTGAAATGAGACTTCAGTCCAAAAAGCCCTCCCCCCTCCCGTAAATCCTGTGCTTGTAGGCCTGTTAAAAAAAAATGTTATTATTACAGGAATCATAGTACTTTTAAGGATAGTTATTTTTATATTTTTTGACAGTTGCTTAAATTTAACAGCTGAAGTAGCTATGTTTAATTTTAAAATAGGACAAATTGTTATTGTTTAAGTAGTTAGCTCAGATCACTCCCAGAAACAAATATGAAGCAATGAAAACAAAATTATTATTTCTATTTTGGGGAAGGGGCTTCAGGCCGAAAGTTCCCCCTTCCGTGGATCCCTAAGTGAGTGTAGCTGACAAAGGCTTTTCTTTTCATTCTTAAGATGCCTCTAGAAAATTTTAATTGTGTTATAATGTTAAACCTCTGAAATCAAACTTCGTCCATTGCAGTGTATGCAACAAATAGATTATGTAAAGATGTTATTGATATTTATTGATTATAGGTATAATATACGTGTTATACACTTTTACACTTTTTACCAATTTTCACACCTAATTGTAAATAAATATAATATGTGTATTCATGGTACTCTCATTATCCGGAAGTAAATTAGTCCTCCGGGTAATAGACTCTATCTCATTTGGGTCTCCGGGTGGGAACTACTTTGGGGATTCATGACGTATTTTACTTTCAAACACTCTGCACTATCCCTAGTGGGTATTTTAACAAGGACTTCTCAGTCTTCTCCTTTCCGGTCACCCTTGCATCAGCATATTGCCCTCCTAACAGATTCATATCCAAAGCCCAATTCAGTTCTCTCCTCAACTTCTTAGATCATCATTTCATCCTGGGTGCAGACTTAAATGCCAAGCATCAAGAATGGGGTTCAAGAACCACGAATTCTGGTGGCAGAACGTTTCAGTCTCCTTCCACCCAACTCACCAACCTACTGGCCCACTGATCCTAACCGCAATCCTGATATCTTTGATTTTTTCATCCACAGTGGTTTAGGTTCCCTCAATCATTTCCGTCTTGACGAACTTTCCTCAGATCGTAGTCCATTAATACTTCAATTATCAATAGCTCCTATTCCTAAACCCCCTTCGCCGTCCTTCATCAGAGGCCCAGTTAACAGGAAACTCTTTTATCAAATCCTTTCCGATAAAATTGACCTCAGAATAACCCTGAAAAACTCAGAAGACCTCGATAATGCCATACATTTCTTTACCACCACTGTTCAGCAAGCAATCTGGACTGCTTCCTCCCCAAATCTCTCCTCGAAAATTCCTAAGAAAAATAATTTACCTTAATACTAGACCTGGGCACTCTTGAAATAATTTATTTCTGAAATAATTCACATGGTTATTCCACGAATGAATTATTTTGGAAATAATGGTTATTTCTGAAATAATATTCCCCACTGAGTAATGCTATAGTTTTCGCCCTATAGACTGAGATGAAAAATGAAAAATCCGAAAAATGCATAGTTGAAATAATAAAAATTTAATATATCAATCTTTCAATTTTTCATTCGAAGTTTAGTTAGGTTTCGCCATCCTGAAAAACTACAGTAATATCTTTATGTAGTGGTAACATTTTTTAGTGGATTATTAAATTTCCTATAAAACTATAAAAAATCATCTAAATCCGACCTGTTTTAGCAACGTGCATTTAATTTTATACACTGATTTTAATAACTTTTCACTTGACTGTTGACATTGATTTAGTTCATCAAAAAAATCATACTCTGATGATTTCTCTGATCGGTTATCAGGAAAATTAGTCTAATTCAATTGTGTTGTTTTAATGAACACAATATTTTTTTTTTATTTTAATGAAATTGACAACTGTATTACATGGAAAATACAACAAGTAAATGTGACATTGGTAACATGACATGAACAACATGAAGAGAAACTACCCATTGGTAGAACTCAAATTAAAGTTCTATATTAGAAGTTCCCAAGGCCATCTTCTTTTCAGACGCCTCGGAGGGTTATCAGGGATCGAGGAGAAAGCAAGGTTGGAAACAAGAGGGTTCGGATAGTTCAGAAGTTTATTATGAAAGGACAGGTATCTGGATTGAGCTAAATCGGAAACATACGGTACGTTAAGATCATTATGGATGATTTTATTTGTGATAAAGTACGGAGCATTAAGGATTTTACGAAGGATTTTGGATTGTAGGGATTGGCTACGAGAGGAATTTGTTGGCTTAGTATAGCCCCAAAGCTCGATCCCGTATGTCAAATTAATTTTATTAATTTGGTTGGACGTTGGAAGATATAAAGTAACATATTTTTAAACAACAATAAACTAATAGGTATCTTCAAGACTCTTGCGCATGAGCAATTCTGACTGCACAAGACAAAGACTCGTCTTCGCAAAACTTGTTACTAGATCACTAATACGTCTTTAGTTAAAAGAATTTATGGTTTATGTTTTAAAACAATAAAGTAATTAATTATATATATATATATATATTTTTTTTTTTCATTTAGCACATTGGAATGGATACTGCAATCCAAAAAAAGGAGATTCAATCGCTGAGAAACAAATGGACTAATAGCTTGGAAGCTTATGAAAATGACACAGATTACATCAGTGGGAAATTGTCAGTCTCTGCACAAATTCCACCTGAATTCACACTGCGGTGCAATAATTGTGAGTACTTTTACTTTACATTGAATCTTTGTACCAATTTGTCCAATGGCACAAAATGTATTAACATTATTTACTGTAAGGTTCATATCACAGTATCATTAAAGAATATTTAATAAAATTAATTCTTAATTTGTAATGAAATATTGTCAAAATATTCTAATATTTCAAATAAAATATTCTACACATTTTTTTTTTATATCGGCCTCGAAAAACTATCTCTTAGAGATGGGACGTAAATTCGCTTCATTAAATTTATCATAAAAAATTATGGGAAAATTTTTAAATAAAATTGGAAGTGATGGCAATGAAAAAAAATATTAGGATTACATATATTTATTAAGTAACATAAAACAATGAGCATTGATTTCCCTTAATAGATATCTTAGTAAAAAAAAAAAACACTGGTACATTATAGATTTAGATAATTTTTTTTTTCGAATAAGCAGTATGTTATTAATATATTTGTTTATAATTACAAAGTGTACTTTTGTAATTAATTTATCACAATACCTCCGTGTTTATAGAAAAAAAGAACGAAACTAAAAGTTTGCAATAATTTATGGTATTTATTTTTGCTAAAACCATAGGTACTTAAGAGTAAAATCAAATCTTTGACTCATCTTAATTTATCCTTTGAAAAACTCAACTTAATTAATATGGACGTAAAGCTTATTAAACAAATGGAACATCTTTAGTCCACTTTGAGGGTGATAAAAATCGCGAATAGTTCATGATTTTATCAAAACTGAACTTACTTAGTGTAGTTTATCCGATTTAAAAGTTCTCTTTAAATGTTTTATTTTTCATTTATTGAGAAAAAATACATTTTGCCTCAATTAAGAGCATTGAATAATAGATGTAAGTGACCCATTCATAACATATATGCAATAACAAAAAGAAATGAAAACTTAGTAAAACAAAAGAAATAAATCATGGTGCAACATTAAATAGAAATATAAAAACACATTCACTCTTATTTACAATGTATACAGTCAGCCGAGGGAGCTCCGAGTCGTGTTCTTTCTTCTACGTGTGGAGGATAAGGCGTGACTCTAAGAGATCCCAGCGCTTCTCTCTCAGCCACATCACTGAGAAATGGCACTAAAGCCACATACGCACATGACTTCAGTCACTAGCGAATCCAGGATTTAATTTTTTTTTTGGGGGGGAGGAGGGGGCTTCAGCCCGAAAGCTTTTTTTTCATAAAAATGACGATAATTACTTTGGTGATATGAAATGGTGTTTAAGTGATTCCTAAAGTCCTTTTAAATGTAATTACACGAACGATAATACTTTAAGAGATAATTATTTAATATTTTTTACCATAAAACATGGTTATATTTTACCATTTTGGGTGAGGCTTCAGCCCCAAAGCCCCTCCCCCCCCCGTAGATCCGCCCGTGACTAGAGTGTAGAAGCTGGGCATTGACAGGACTCCAATGACGTATTTCCAAAAGATCTCGAGGCCACTGCCGTTTCATCAACCTTCGAGGAGGATTGTAGGGATGACTGGAACTGGATAAGAATTGCGCTTATGTTAAAATTTTGAGAATCGGGATGAAATAACATCAAGGACATAAGGAATGTTAAAGTCATGATGTAGAGTTTTGTTTGTAACATAATAGGAAGCATTTACTATTGCACGAAGTTAGTACAGCTAGGCATCAGTTTGTCAAAACCCTACAAAATAAAAAAAGAAGCAATAAAATCGGTTCAGTAGTTTCCGAGAAAATCTTGGCATAGACAGACAGACAGACAGGCAGACCAATGGCTGAAAATGTGTTAGGAAAGTAATAAGTTAAAAAAATGCGTAAAAAAAAATAAGCTGTATCATCGCTAATATTGGTTCGAGTCCGATGATTTTTTTTTTTGTTTTGTCGGTAATTTAATTACCTTTCAAAAGTTTAATTATAAATTTTACCGTATAATATATACTTAGGGAGTTAGGCCCCATAACATTTTTCTTTTCTTTATACCTTTTTTTCCTGAATTTTTTGGGGAATTTAGTCTATATGCGAAAATTGAAAGAACAATTTAGGAAAGTTTCATCATAATCGTTAGAGCCGTTTTTGCGCTACAGTCTATAAAAAAAACAACATATTTTTCATTTATTGCGCGCAAGCTATTGCGCATGGAGCACCGAATTTCTGTCACAGGCATCAGTAGTCAAAACCCTACAAAATAAAAAAAGAAGCAACAAAATCGGTTTAGTAGTTCCTGAGCAAATCTTGGCACAGACAGACAAACAGACCAATGGCTAAAAATGTGTTTTTCGGACTCAGGGGGCTCTGAAACGTATAGATCCGTCGGAAACCGCATGTCGGAAATTTGACCCGATCGCAATACTTTCCTTACCTAGTATAGGTAGGAAAGTAATTATTAAAAAAAATTCCTCACAGTCAAAATGATACACCTCACTTTTAAACTTGTATTAACTTTTAAATGTTATTAATTCAGTTCAATATCTTGTAGGCAAGCCATTATTTTCTAGCACTTCTATCAGTCTGTAATGAAGTCTACCAATTTTTTGGTGAATTTTGGACTTCATTGCTAGAGATTTCGTGTCTTCTGATTTCTACCTTCAATTTTACCCACAGGTGTTTTATCACATTAAGATCTGGTCGCTGTGGGTGTCTGAGTTTTTACTTCTTTTGGGGAGTCATAAAGTAGCCATTCCTTAACTAACATGGTAGAGTGTTTGGGGTCGTTATTCTTATAAAAACTAAATTTGTTTTTTATCTCTAGATTTTCCTCAATTTCTTTCAAGTTTTTTCTCAAAATGCTTGTGTATACATCTTTATTCACTACATCATGTGAAGATTTCCACTATAAATTGCAGATTTCCTACACCAGAAGCCGCCATACACCCCCACACCAAGTAAAAGAACATATACATAACACAACATAAGAAAAAGAACATATTATTAGGGTGTTTATTGATTACGATAAATTATTATTTTCAATGTGATATCAATTGAACTATTTATTTATTCAATAATTTTTATCAATATCCATGTGTATCATTTTGATTGTGAGCCACTGTGTATATACATGCGTGAATTGTGTAAATTATTTCATAAGTAAAAGGGAGTGGGGTAGCTCAGTGGTAGGGCACTGATCTTCCAATGCTCAAGATCCTGGGTCGGAATTCCGGCTCATGGCAGAAAAATTATTTATTCTATTTCATTAGCCGTGGGGCGACCCTGGGATTACGAGACCCTCCTGGGGCACACCCAGCCTCTATAAAGTGGGTGCCTTTAATTAAATAATTAATTAAAGGGAAAAACCTGGCGGTTGAGCGCGATCTCAGTCAAATCACCTCCTTGCACAACCGTTGACTACGAAACAGTACTTACCCTAAATAGTACTGAACCTAAGACCCTTCATGGGTTGTAGCGGTACAGGGTTTTTGTTTTTTTTCTTATTTCATAAGTAATGAATAAAGTTTGAAATTATTGTATATTCAATTTACTTCAATAATTCATTTTTTAAATGATTATGAATATTATGTTTTCATGATTATGAATATTATGTGTCTACAACCACACTAGATGATCTGTCAATAAATAATAAGAATGAAAAATCAGTAAAAAATATATATATATATTAATTATATACTACACCTTTAAGAATATTTAGACACATCTGAGCTCAAAATTGTTATCTATTTAATAAAATCAGTAAAAACATATAATTGAATATACGGCATTAGAATTAAATAATTGATGTTTTCTTTTATATTGATGCTTGTGGCAAATAAGGTGAACATATAAGCCACAAAGGAAGTAATATTTGCCAAACTTATTTGTATAACCTAGAAATTCTCAAAAAAAGAGTACTAAGTTTGAAGCGGATAGATCTAAAAAAAAAAGATGATATGTTTGTATAATGGTGGAATAATGTAATGTTAGAGCTATGTCCATATGGATGGATCAGTATGCTGTGCAACTGATATAAAGCAACCCTATTTAGTAGGGCAGCATTACTTTCAATAAAGTATGTCTCTCTTACCTACTACACTGAGTTAAAGTGGCTCTTCCCCTCCTTTCGAAGACAATATTTCCTTGGTACGTTCCTTTATCAAATCATCAACAACCATCGTCCTTCTTAGGCCTATAACCTTCTCCAATTCAAGTCCTCAGTCCAATCCCTTTCAACAAGATCTCCACCTTCTGACCTCTACATCCCTTCTCACAGATCTGCCTCATTTCATAACTCCTTTATAGCTCGCGCTGTCAATTTCTGGAATTCCCTACCTATCAAAATTCGGCATTCCCCTCCATATCCACATTCAAAACCCTCCTATTCCAATTCCTATCCCAAAAACAGTCAGATGCTTGTTAAACTTTTGATATTATACATTTTTATTATATCATTCATCATCAAATGACTGTACCATTCCATACTGTAAACTTCAATAGGGATTTTAGAATATCTTCCTACTCTCAATGCCACTGAATGCATCTATTGTTTGTTTTTTTATTATTTTTATTCTTATACAAATAAATTTGTACCAATAGTTACAATAAGATAATGATGTGTTTAGATATTATTCATTATATAAATACTCTGACATTTTATATTGTCAGATTTTTCTTTCCTTTGTCAGCAGAAACACAGCACATTTTAAAGAAAAACTCAATGTATTTTTTATTATTTTATTTTTCAAAAGTGTATAATTATAATTTTTCCTACTATACATAGTTGTAAGTGTTTTGTATATAGTTTGTTTAACTAATATTTTCTTTAATTTGTCTTTTTTTATCCTATATAATTATATATTATTTTAAAAATTGTCTGTAGTGATTAATAAGTATGCTGTGTTTTTAGCAACATAATGTAATTGGGCAGCACCATTTTATGATAATAAATTGATTCTCTCTGTTTTATTTTGGCCAGATGTAGTATTTTAATTATGTTCTATGTTGTTATTCTAAAGGGCCTTTGTCCCAGAATAAAGTTATTTTCTATTATTATTATTATTAAAGTATTTCTCTCTCATCTTAGTCCTCACAATCAGCGTTATTCGACACCTGTTGAGGGCCTAAGAAGAAAATATTTTACACACTAAATGTGACTATGGGGTAGTACATTGTCCGACCGAAGACAGTGCCGATGAAGTTAAAAGTGAATTTTACGATAAACTCGAATGGGTTTATGATAAACTACCGCGAAACTACATGAAAATAATTGTAGGTGACGCGAACGCAAAGGTAGGAAGGGAAGAAGTTTATATTCCGACGATTGGTAAAGAAAGTTTGCACTAGACCTGGGCAGAATTTATTTGAAAAATATTCCCGGAAATCGCTTATTATGAAAATACGGTCGAATTTGAGATTGCGCCCCCCCCACTATCCCGCATCGACTTTTTGTAACTTTTCCGATTTAATCGATATCAGGGTCGACTATTATGTTTTCGGAGTAGCTTAATATGAAAATACGGTCGAATTTGAGATTGCGCCCCTCCCCTACTCACCCGCATCGACTTTTTGTAACTTTTCCGATTTAATCGATATTAGGGTCGACTATTATGTTTTCGGGGTCGCTTATTATGAAAATACTGTCGAATTTGCCATTGTACTCCCCCACTCACCTGCTTTGACGTTTTGTAACTTTTCCGATTTAATCGATATCAGGGTCGACTATTAAGTTTTCGGGGTAGCTTATTATGAAAATACGGTCGAATTTTAGATTGCGCCCCTCCCCTACTCACCCGCATCGACTTTTTGTAATAGTCGACCCTAATATCGATTAAATCGGAAAAGTTACAAAAAGTCGATGCGGGTGAGGGGGGGTGCAATCCAAAATTTGGCAGTATTTTCATAAAAAGCGCCTCTGAAAACTTAATAGTCAACTCTAATATCGAATTAATCCAAAAAGTTACAAAAACTCGATGCGGGATAGTGGGGAGGGCGCAATCTCAAATTCGAACCTATTTTCATAATAAGCTACCCCGAAAACTTAATAGTCGACCCTGATATCGATTAAATCGGAAAAGTTACAAAACGTCGAAGCAGGTGAGTGGGGGGGGGGGAGTACAATGGCAAATTCGACAGTATTTTCATAATAAGCGACCCCGAAAACATAATAGTCAACCCTAATATTGATTAAATCGGAAAAGTTAAAAAAAGTCGATGCGGGTGAGGGAGGGGGGCGCAATCGCAAATTCAACAGTATTTTCATAAAAAGATACCACGAAAACGTAAATGGCCACCCTGATATCGATTAAACCCGCCTAAGCCTAGAAATCGAAAAACGTCATTTGAAAAAAAGAAATTGCTCTCGGGTACACTCATGTTATTTCAGAACAATGTTATTTCTGAAATATTTATTTCTTGATTTTATGCAATAATTTATTTATGTAATAAATAATCCTGAAATAATAGTTATGAAATAATTTATTTCAGAAATAACTCATTTCGAAATAATTTACATTATTCCAAAGAATGTTCAAATAGTGAAATAATTATTTCAGAAATAAATTCAGAGTTATTCCATCGAGATTATTTCGATGACTGTTTGAAATATTATTTCAGAAATAACCGTTATTCCCGAAATAATTCATTCGTGGAATAACCATGTGAATTATTTCAGAAATAAATTATTTCAAGAGTGCCCAGGTCTAGTTTGCACGAATATAGTAATGATAATGTTATCCGTCTGATAAACTTTGCCATCTCGAAAAACCTGATAATTAAAAGTACGACGTTTAAACATAAGAATATTCATAAATATACTTGGACATCACCAGATTCGCAAACACGAAATCAAATAGAACATGTCTTGATACAACACAGCTGGCAAAGCAGTATAATTAATGTACGGTCTTATCGCGGAGCAGAATGTGGGTTGGATCATGAATTAGTAATCGCGAAACTTCGACAAAAACTTAATATAAAAAAGAGAAAAGAAAACCGTCTCGATTTTGAGAATTTTAATTTGGAAAAATTAAAAAATCCATCAATTAGAACCCAATTCGAGCTAGATGTTAAGAATAGGTTTGAAGCTTTAGAGCTTCCTGACGAGGACCACGAGGATATTGACAAGTGATGGGTAGAGATCAGGGATAATATTAAAGCGGTCGGTAACTCGTGTCTAGGAAAAAAGGAAAATAAGAATAACAAACTGTGGTTTGATGAAGATTGCTTAAACATGTGCGAAAAAAGAAAAGCCGCTAAATTAAAAGCTCTAAATAATCCTAGCGAAGACAATCTGGAATACTTCCGAACCTCAAAGAACGAAACGACAAAATTGCTCAAAAATAAAAAAAGGGAGTATCTTAAAAATAAAATAATTGAAATAGAAACTAATAGAATCGAAAATAACGTAAGAGACATGTACAAAGGTATAAACAGATCACGTAAAAGTGTCGGGCCCGTAACGTCTGAAATTAGGGATGATAATAAAAATATTCTGACCGATCCGGTTGACATATTGAATAAGTTTAAGGACCACTTGACAATATTTTAAATACGGGAAATTATAATCTGTGTCCTCCTTCTGAGTACCAGAGTGCTGAACCGTTAATAGAAGGACCAAGTAAAGAGGAAGTTGAAGTAGCTATCGGAAAATTAAAATCATATAAAGCAGTGGGGACCGATAATATTCCTACTGAACTAATTAAGGCATTCGGGGAAGCTGGAGTTTCTAAAATACATCGGTTGGTTAAAAAGATCTGGGTGAACGAGAAATTACCTGAAGAATGGAAAGAATCTATTCTTATTCCGATCCACAAAAAGGGTCCGAGGACGGATTGTAATAACTATCGAGGAATTTCACTCCTTCCGGTATGTTATAAAATATTCACTTTAATCTTAACCTGTCGAATCACGGAATACGCCGAGGAAATTATCGGAGACTACCAATGCGGATTTAGACGGAATCGTTCGACTATTGATCAAATATTTTCTTTACGGCAAATATTAGAGAAAAAATTGGAGTATAACGGCATTGTTCACCAGCTGTATATAGATTTTATAATATATAAGGCTTACGATTCTATTGACCGCCAGAAACTGTATAATATTCTAATCGAGCAGGGGATTAAAAAAAAACTAGTAAATCTAGTCAGGATGTGCTTGACGGAGACGCTCAATAAAGTTAGAATCGGTAACAATTTGACCGAAAAATTTGAGGTTCGTTCGGGTTTAAAACAGGGGGATTCTCTTTCGCCTGTCCTGTTCAATTTGGCATTAGAACATGCCATTAGGGAGGTAATGCGAACCGAGAAAGGGTTGGATCTGGGCGGGACAACATCCGTGCTGGGCTATGCTGATGATCTGGTACTGTTAAGCGAAGACGTTGAAACTATAAAACTAAATACGACAACGTTAATGAAAGCCGGTAAAGAACTAGGACTCGAAATAAACATGGATAAAACAAAATATATGGTTAGCTGCAAAAATGGCGATACTACTGGTGATATCGATATAGATGGTAATATGTTTGAACAGGTAGAGAAATTTAGGTACCTAGGTTCTACGATAACTAGAAAAAACGAAATTGAAGAAGAGATTAAGGTTAGACTGAAGGCGGGAAATGCTTGTTATTTTTCTGTGACAAAACTACTTAGTTCCCGCCTCTTTTCCCGGAACTTAAAAATTAGAATCTATAAAACAATTATCTTGCCTACAGTTCTTTATGGATGCGAAACTTGGCAGCTTACACTAAGTATGAGCAGCGTCTTAAGGTTTTTGAAAATAAAGTATTGCGTAGAATATTCGGCCGAAGAAGGATGAGTTAACCGGAGAGTTCAGACGGTTACACAACGACGAATTGCGTGAGCTGTATCCGGGTAATATAATTGAGGTAATTTCATCGCGGCGAATCAAATGGGCTTGTAAAGTTGTTGGGCTTAGTAACGAGAGAATTCCTAAAAGGTTAATATTTGCTGTGCCAAATGGTAAGCGTCCGAGGGGTAGACCGAAGCGAAGGTGGGAAGATTGTATTAAAGCCGATCTGAAGGGACTGGGTTTGGACGGCGAACGGTGGAGGGAGGTATGTAATAAGCGATTGGTGGTGTCGGCAACGAACCTTCGGGTTTCGCTATGCCTTTTATTATTATTATTATTAGTAAGTCAAAAAAGCAAGTAAGTCTGACTTACCTACACAACTACCACAACTTCAGTTCTTGAAACACGCCCTGATGAAGACCCACATGCTTGGGTTGAAACGTCGGCACCAATAAAAACCTTGAAAATGACTGGGTCCTGACTATTTATCACCCATTTTAAAATTACAATAAGTATTTAAAATATCATGTATTTGTATTTTAAAAATACAGTGTATCTTAAGTGTTTTAAATTGCTTCCAGAAAATATAATTCAAATACCAAAAGTATTCTGTATTTTAATTACAAAAAAACAAAATACAAATACAAAATACTTTCTGAAGGACGTTTAGCATATAATACAGGAAACCTATTCTGTTTGGTAATTTATATTTAAAATATTTATTTAATTTAAAAAATGTATATTTAAAATACAAAATAAAATACATTTTTTATATATTAGTATCTTGAAAAGAAGCTGCAAATAACGGGTTGCCCGGAACTAAGGCATAACTTAAAAATCTAATTTAAGATAAAGTAATTTGTAGATTAAATTAGTGAAATATGAGACGCTTGTCTAATTCCAATCAACATTTTCTTGTAGATAGAGATGCTTCACCTCTGATGATCAAGATTACTGCCCTGCCAAAGATACAGCTGTTCTTTCAATTCACCGCTGATTACCCTGCCAAAGGCATGCCAACTTACCAGATTTCATGCTTGTGGCTGACGTTTGATCAGGCAAGTTATATTTCATGTATATTTATCATTTTATTCTTATTAAAAAAGGGAATATTTAAGTTGTTGTTAAGTTGTGAACATTGATTTCCAATTATTATAAGTATAATTTCGTTTTTTTCCCCTTTAATCTTAATTTAGTATTACTTGAAATTTTCTTCTTTTATTGGCACAGAAGCCGCATGAAGCTACCCTTGGCCTGCTCAACTGCCGCCAACCATCTCTCTCCATCTTCTGTAAGGGTAACAGGAATCCTCAGTTGTCGCAGATCCTGCCCCTGAGCATCCCTCTATCGACCATTCGGCCTAACACTTCGGCGCATACCATATACACTTTATGAGCCACTCTTTCTTCGCTCATCCTCATGGCCAAGCCATTTAAAGCTCTTTATGCTTATATACGAGGAGATGGTACATTCCTTGTAGAGTCTCAACAGCTCACTATTTTACCTTCTTCGCCAAATACCATTCTCGCATACGGGCCTTCTCAGAATTACTCTTTCAAACCTGTCTAGCAGATTAATGCTTTTATTATAAGTTTCTCTACCGTATGTGAGTTTGCTTTTGATTAGCCTTAAAATGGAGAAATAGGCTCTATTTCCTGCTACTATTCTGTTTTAACCTCTTCATCATTCTGGTTATGTTTGATGGTAGAGCCCAGTGACTTCTTACCCGACAACATAATCTTCGTTTTCTCTCCATTATATGCAGGCCGATATTTTTTGCTTCGACATCCATCGCTTCTAAAGCAATTCTAAGGCTCTGAAGGCTTACTAGTCAGCCCCAGTTCATGCATGGCCAATAAGATTCTTCTGCTGATGTCCCTTCATCTTCTCAGAGATTTGCCTCAGGGCGAAGATTTGATCAATGTAGATCTACTGGGCCAGAAACCACCCTGATAGTCATCCAATTTCTGTTTAATATACGGATGTAGCCTGTTGTACAGGGATATATCCCGTATGGCAGCAATGCCAGATAGGGTGAAAAAAAAAATATTGAACTGGGATATGGAAAAAAATGTATATGCTGTGTTAAGCAAGCTAATCCCTCGATAGTTGCTGCAGATCGTTGAATCTCCATTCTTCTTGTGTATAGGCACTACTACAGCCTCGTTTCATTCCTTAGTTATGGTCTCCTCTTCCCATATCTAAGCTATCAGATTCTATAGTTCACTGGCAACTTCGTGATGCCCTGCGTTAAAAAATTCTGCTGGGAGTCCATCATTACCGGGTGATTTATTATTTTTTAGTTTACATAAAATGTCTTCGATGTCCTCTACATTTGGCGCAATGGTTTTCAAATCTTCATCATTAATACCTACCGGTAATTGTACATGGTCCTCTGCTTCTCTTGGGTTCAGTAAGCATTTGAAATATTGCTGCCAACTTTCTTGCACTTCTTCTTCTAGCACTTGCATGTTGTCATGGTCGTCTTTGATCAGATTGGCTCTCCTGGTTGGTCCTACACTTGATGCTATTCACCATTTTGTAGAATTTGTGAGACGCATTTCTACTCCTTGAATTTTCAATTCTCTCAATCTGTTTCTCTTCTTGTTTTTAGCTAATCTCTTCGTGTGCATCCTGGTGTTTTTTTCATTCCTTTTCTGGATTACTTGCCCCCATTCTTCGTCAAAACAATGGTTACGAGGATGTGTTGTTTTTTCTCCTGCGATACTTTTTTTCTGAGGTATATAAGTAAGATTTAACAGCATATAGATGATTTTAGGATGAGATACTGGTAAGATTGGGAATTTCTGTTATTGTTGTTAAAAATTATAATGAAAAAAATATTGTATTGCTAGTATAAAAATATAAATAACAAAAATATTCTAATTTCTAGTCTGAAGATGGGATAAGAAAGTGGATTCCGAATCATCATAAAAATAAGAAAAAGATTTTGGGAGAGTAAATGCTCTTATTAAATCTTACTTATATTCTTTTTTTTTTTTTGTTTTAGCTGCGATCATTATGTAGGCAGTTGAATCGTTTATGGCAAACCTATTCTGGGTCACCAATTTTGGATATTTGGGGTACTTTTCTCCAAGAAGCAATAGCCTTTCTAGAGATGGGAAATCTATTAGATTTAACTGAAGGTAAGCAATATTACATTTTTTTTAAGCTCAGTGTTTAAATTGATGTTTATCTTAGAATGAATTAACTTGATGAATTAAATCATATAAGAAAAACGTATTTATTATAACGTATACCATAGAGATATTTTTTAAAAAATTCCACAACAGCTGGTAAAATTTTTATCCTGCCTATACTTATTTTCTGGGGTTGAAACATTTATGGATTTTTTTTTTTTAAATCTATTTTAACAGTTTTTGTGAAGCGTTTGAGGAAAAAAAAGTTCTTTGTAGAAAATTTGTAATAAAGTCTCAGGTTTACGGTAAAAGTTTAATTTTCATTTAATCAAGTTCTTGAAAAAAAGTTATTATCTAGTTCCACTCATCCCTACAACCCTCCTCGAAGGTTGAAGCGGCAGTGGCCTAGAGATCTTTTATAGTATTTATTTTGGAGTTCTGGCAATGGCCAGATTCTCCACTCAAGACATGAATGCATGTGGCTAAGCGCTCTCGCTCAAACTCCACCGGCTTTAGCACCGGTGAGGCGGTTGAGAGAGTAGCGCGGGTTCCCCGCCTGATTGTATATAGGTGTGACTGTTTTTATGTTTTTAATTTACTTGTATTTAGGTTATTTTATTTTTTTTATTGTATATAGTTTTTATTTATTATTACTTAGTTATTATTTTACTTTTGTTAATTTTTTTTTTTTTTTTTTTGTATATACGGTGTGAATGTGTTCATTTATCAATATAATTATTGTTCCTGTGACAGAATATTATATGTCTAAATAAATAAATAAATAAAAAATTATTCGTCTTAAATGAATCAGGCATGATTCTAATGTGTCGTTTGTTTGAATAGCTAAGAGTAAAAGACATTTTTGTGTTTATGAGCGAAATCGGCTAAACTTTTAAATAAAAGGTGTTGTTTTTAATAAAAGTTTGCAAAATAGGGGTTTGCTTGAAATCTAAATGTCAAAAAAAAAAAAATAAATAAAAATACACGGTGGGCTAGACCCCCTTACCGTGCACCCCCTCTCCCCCCCCGCCACATCCCTATAAATTTCATATCGTTGTGTTCCTTGTGACAATTTATTAAAAAAAAGCCAATGTTTCCACAAAAAAAGTGCCCCAAAATGGCGTCCAAACATGGCGGATTGACGACTTTGACTTTAGTTAGTTTTTTTGTTACTGAGAATCAGCATTTGGCTTAATTTCATCATAGTTGGTCTTTTATTAAAGTTGGATAGTCAGAGAATAATAAAACATGAAAAAATATTAATAACTAATTGGCTTAGGCAATAAAAAACGTCGGCAAAGTCAATTTTTTTAACAAAAAAATAATTTTCAAGTTGAAAAACAAGCGTCGTTTGTAATTAAACGGCCAACAAAAATGCAAAAGGTGCTGAAATAAAACATGTGGAGAATACATTTTTCTTTCTAAAACACTGATTACTTTTTAAAATATTTGAAATAATTTCGTAAAAAATGCACTTAAGCGGCAGAAAAGCGCTACTGGCGTAGGTGCCTTCAGGTCTCTACCACACCACTCAGTACTCATAAATGGATTAGTTACAGTGCTATAATAACGTTTTTGTTATATTATATTCTTTGCATTAACTTCCTCCAGACCTGCTTACCAATTGCTTAGAACAAATCTTTCTTGCTGGTAAAATGGTCTTCACCATAATAAACCTGCTTAATATCATCCAAACTGATCTAGCATTAAAGTCAAAAAATTGACTTTGCCGACGTTTTTTATTGCCTAAGCCAATTAGTTTTTAATATTTTTTCATGTTTTATTATTTTCTGACTATCCAGCTTTAATAAAAGATCAACTATGATGAAATTAAGCCAAATGCTGATTCTCATTAACAAAAAAACTAACTAAAGTCAAAGTCGTCAATCCGCCATGTTTGGACGCCATTTTGGTGCAGTTCGTTCACTTTTTTTTGTGGGGACACTGGCTTTTTTTAAATAAATTGTCACAAGGAACACAATGATATGAAATTTATAGAGATATGGGGGGGAGTGGGAGTGCACGCTAAGGGGGTCTGGCCCACAGACTAAAAGGTTTACCTGAAAAGTTGCAAGGGAAAATGTTATAGTTCCAAAAGAACTGAAAAACTACCGAAATTTAAAATTCTAATGATAACGAAACTTTATAATGATAAGTTTTTTTTTTCCATTTCAAGCCCTGCTTTTTAATTAATTTACATGCTCACTACTTTTAATTAATTGACTGCTGTTGTGATACAGACGAAGTCATTTAGCGAATAATGTTATAATCTATGTTTATCTATATTTATTGTGGAAGTTGGTTGGGTGATGAGGTAATTGATGAAATTAGAAACCTCATTTCCTTATTAACCGACGATTTAGCCTAATTTTGGAGCCTTCATCTTGGTGACGCGTCACTAGTCACGATTCCTTCTACTCTCTACAGTAACGTATCCATTAATAACAATTTATATTTATTATTTAATACTTCTATTTTTTAAAATTAAAAGTAGTAATGTTGAAAAAATCCAAAATGAAATACATGTATTATAGTAAATAGATGATAACCAAATGATTAATAAGTTTCTGGGAGTAAGATGGTAGTTGGGGTAGGTCTCTCATTCTGGAAAATACAGAACATTTTAATTCTTTATTCTTAATCTTTAAAGAGATTTTAACGATAAAGGGAAAATACTTATTTTTAAACTTTTCGGCTAGATATAAAACTTCGATCACTACCGGATCCAGGACTTAATTTTTGGGGGGGGGGAGCTTCAGCCCGAAAGATTTTTTTTTGGATATATATATTAGGATAATTACTTCGGAAGAAATAAAGAAACTAACTACCTATATGAAATGGTGTTGAAGTGATTCTTTAAGTCCTATTAAATGTAATTAGATGAAAATTAATACTTTTATATATAATTTTTTTCATAAAACATGGTTATATTTTACTATTCTGGGAGGAGAGAGGAGGGCTTCGCCCGAAATCCCCTCCTTCTTTCTCTCTCCCTCTCTCCGTAGATCTGCCTGTGACTTCGATACATAAATATCTTATTTATTAATATTTCATGCTATATAAAAGAATACATTTATTTCATTTTGTATTTACAACTGTACCCGCATCTTCTTAGTACCTTGTCTGCTTTTATTTTTCCTCTTTGTTTGTTTATTTTAATTCTTTTTTTTCATTCTTGTTAATTTTTAATTTTTTTTTCCCGGTCGATACTTCATAATTTGGTCACAAAATAAGTTTGTTATCTGAATCCTTAAAAAGCTAGACACAATCTATTAACTGATAAGTTGAAACAATCAACTAAAATTATGCAACAGAAAGTTACAAATACTTCAGTGGAAAGTTCTAAAGCCTTTTATCTCATGGTAAAAAAATATATGTTCATCTTGTGGTCACGTGATAACATAGACAGATGATTGCCTTATCGCTGCTACCTTTCCTCAGCTGCTTTTATAATTACAATCTTTGGAAAAAAAATGAACATTCAATCTTGCTCAAAAAATATTAGTAATGTTTATTAATTCCTAAAAAGAATAAAATAGTAACAAACTATTTTATTTAAAGACAACGTTTTAATGGGAGATTTGGTATTATGGCTTTATGTGCACCTTTATCCTATGCATTTTATATAAATCTCAAACAAGAATTGAAAAAAAAAACAACAATAAAATAAATAGATAATAATAATTATAATTTATTATAATTATAATAATAATAATTTATTACTTTTATCATCTTATCTATTGTTACACTTATGGTGCTTACACGGACTCTCAAGCATGGCCTTTATGTATCTGTAATGACAATTCTTGTTATTTACGCAATAATGTATATTTTAATTGCTAAATTAACATTCTATTCTCCCCCAATAAAATAATATTAATATTCGTCTCATACGAAAACCAAAAAAAAAAAAAAAAAAGCAATTAGTTGCCATGCAAACGGTGTTGAATGATGTTAAACACCATGTCATATAGGTAGTTATTTTTTTTAATATATATATATATATATATATATATATATATATTATATTATATATATATATATAAATATATAAATATAAATAGTTCCTTTTATTTATTTTTTTATTTTTTCCATTACACCACAAGTATCCTAAGATTTTATTTTATCTTAGTGTCTGCATATTATTATATAAACCACTGTAGATATTATTACATTTTGTAATAAGTTAGTTTTCTATTAGATAGCCCATTGTTTATAAATTGTGTAGTTATGTATATATAAATATGTAATTTCTCTTCTTTTTTTTTCACTACAATTAAGTAATTTTGAGATGATTTTATGTTCATTTGTATATATATTTTATTTTTTATTTTTTACTGGTTACATACTTTTTAAATAATGTATATAATATTAAAATTTTTATAAGTTAGTTTTTGGCCAGATTTGTACTTTACTTTGTATTAACTCATCATTGTTATTCTAAAGGGACTTAGTCCCAGAATAAAGTTTAATTTTCTATTCTATTCTATTCTCTCTCTCTCTCTCTCTCTCTCTCTCTATATATATATATATATATATATATATATATATATATATATATATATAAATAAATAAAAGACAAAAAGCTTTTGGGATGAAGCCGCCCCTCCCAAATTAAATCCTGGTTCCGCTAATGAATAATGTCTAGGGGAACATTCCTCAAAATCATATTTGTGCTTGGTGAAGAAAATTACATTACTTTTAGTTCGGGACCTACCGAAGATTTAACCACGTGATCAGCGGCAGAATGTTTGTAAATTGAAAATAGTAGTGATGACATTCCTTATGCCACGGGCGGATCAACGGGGGGGCATTTTTGCTGCAGCTGATCAGGTAATTTTTGTCAGTTTTTGCGATTTTTGAAATTCTGCAATAGCCAAACGCTTCCAGTTAGCCGTCTGACTCGAGGGGTTTTGGCATAAGCCACTAGCGGATCCAGGATTCAATTTTGGGGGAGGGGGCTTCAGCCCGAAAGCTTCTTTTTTCATAAAAATGGCGATAATTACCTTGGAAAAAAAGAAAGATACTAGCTATCTATATGAAATGGTGTTTAAGTGATTCCTTAAGTCCTTTTAAATGTAATTACACCAATAATAATACTTTAAGAGATAATTTTTTAATATATTTTCCCATAAAACATATTTATATTTTACCATTTTTTTTGGGGGGGGGGGCTTCAGCCCGAAAGCCTCCCTCCCCGTAGATCCGCCTGTGGTGGAGCGTTATCACTAGAGACAGGATTTTCATGTTATTGCACATTTTATTTGTTTACGTGTAAAAATCCCTGACCCGAACATCTATCCATTTCAGGATCTGTAGAAGAATATATTTAAATTTAATATTGCATTTTTGGCTTAAATTGCCCGATTTTGATTTTTGTTGCATTAAATTGCACGTTTTTGTACATTTTGTGCTAGAATAAACGATTTATAAATATATATATATATATATATATATATATATATATGTGTGTGTGTGTGTGCAAATATTTAATTTTTTATTTTACTATCTTGTCCGTATTAAATTTATTTTTTAAGAAAGAAAAATGTTAGGGAAAAAAAAAGAAGTTGAATGATTCTGTGACGCAAAGATTCGAGTTTAAAGTTACAAAAGGAAGAAGTAAACACAAGTGGAGATAGACTATTCTCGGAACTTGTCTGAAATAATTCAATAAAAAAAACTGTCTCCCTTGTTTTGACTTGAATTCCCTCTCTTTTCTCAGAATCCCTATCGGCTCTGAAGTGAATCGTAGACTATCATCAGTTTGGCATCAACAACATTTTTTTTTTCTCCTCAGATCTTCATCTGCAACTGTCATGAGAGTTACTATCAGCAGATTTGATGGAGGTATTGATCGTAATGGGGTGAATAAGATCTGATTTAACGTTCATTAAATCACATTTTTCAAATGATCTCTAAATTTGTCACTTAATAAACAAATTGAAATTATAGAAACTGCAGGAGAAAATCTTCGAAAATGAATCTCAAAAATTTTACTGTGTAATAGAAAAGTACAGGTTATAACGCCCTTACAAAAAAGATATAACGACTCCATTAACGGTATAAATGTTAATGTTGATAAAGAAGGAGTAGTGCTTGTTAAAAAAATGATTCCTATTAAACAGTCCAAGTTGAACGCTTGTTTTCTAAACTAAAAGACGTATTAAATGATAAAGTTTTTTAGTAACGAATTTCGAAACGTATAACATTGTAAAGTTTAACTCGATTAAAAAATACGGTCTTAATTATAATGTGGACATTTTATAATTATGTATGTTTATATATTTTTTTAATTAAATTTAATTATCTGAAATCAATTGATCTGGTATTTATAATGTATACTTATCCTTCATATATTTAATCTTTGTAAATCCCTCTAAATTACATCATTCCTTGTATGTCCCAGTCAATTAACCGATATAAGGGAAACTTAAACAAATGTACTTAATTATTTGTTGGTTAATTATTGAGACCTTTTTCTATTTTTTTTTTTATAATTATCTATAAATTTCCTTTTATTTGTGTTAGTCCTTAGTTTGATTAAAATTTCTCTTTTTTCAACATTTAGGTTAATTATAATTTACTGTAGGGAGCGGGGTAATTCAGTGGGTGAGCACTGACATCCAGAGCTCAAGGTCATGAGTTCGAATCCGGACCCAGGATTTAATTTTGGGGGGGGCGGGTCTTCAGCCCGAAAGATTTTTTTTCATATACATATAACGATAATTAATTAGAAAAAAAAAGAACGAAATTAACTACCTATATGAAATGGTGTTTAAGTGGTTCTTGAAGTCCTCTTAAATGTGATTACACGAACAAGAATACTGTAAGAGATAGTTTTTAATATTTTTTTCTGTAAAACAGGGTTATATTTTACCATTTAGGGAGGGCCTCAGCCCGAAAGCCCCTCTCCCCCCTGTAGATCCGCCTTTGAATAACACCATTGATAGTTTTATACTATCGATATCCTCCATTGCTCGTTCAAACCATTTATAAGAACTAAACTTAAATGTTTAAATTGTGTTAGTTGTACACTATTACAATGAAACTTGTACACTTAGTGATTAAATATTGGCCCTCGACTCTCAATATTTATTATTATGTTTTCTCATGTTGCTTTTTGTAGATTAATTCTTATTTCCCTAAACTACAAGTCCAATGTAACAGTGTAAACTATCGACATTTTCACTATTGTCCCTCTAGATTGCCTTGTAAGAGCCCACTGTGCGACAAATTAAAAACCTGCCGCATTTACGAGATTACTCATTTCCCTTAAATTACAAAAATTACCATCCATTCCGTACCGATTGGAAAATTTCTAACATTGCGTTTTGACTATATAAAATAGTATTAGGTTACCTGTCAAGCCCCAGAGACCATCGGGTGCTTCGTACCTCCCCTGTGATAATGTTAAACTATGGAGAGCTAATTTATATTTACTAAGAACTCAAATTCAGAAAGACATATATGATCAATATGTAATTAAAGTCCAGAATTCTAAAACTTTCACTTTTTGCCCTCATTTATTTAACTTCAGTAAATTATATCGATGACAAAAGCTCATTGAAGGTAAGCAGGATAATTAAAATTAGAGCTGATGTTTTGAACTTAAATTATAAACACTTCAAGAAAACAAATAATAATTGTAGCATGTGTAATACAAACGAAACAGAAGATCTCTATCACTTCCTGGCTGCTTGTCCGATACTCTCTGAATTTAGAATTAAATGCTTAAAGTCTAGAAAATTATCTCGGGATCAAGTAATTGATTTAATAAATGGAAACCATTGGATAGCATTGGTAAATTAGTGCAAGTCTGCTTTCTCCTATAGAATTATGCTCATCAGAGAATTTAAGAATTAATAAATTGGAGAATTTTGGTACCACTCCTTTTGTAATTAAAATATTTATATAACTTTTACATTATAAATATAATTGTTCTTATTTTCTTTTTGATTAGTTGTATATGAATGGATTGAAATATAATTTTGTTATATAATACAGACTCCTCTGACGGTCAACAGACCATGTACTCTGATTTTCGGTTTTAAATCCAAAAATATTATGTTGTATTGCTTTATAATTTATATTATGTAATTTTGATAAATAAAAAGACTTGTTGTTCTTCTTCTATTGGAAAATTTATTAAAAATAAAATTTATTATTGATAATGCTGTTTTACGTTAAAAGCAGAAATGTTTATTTATCTGTTTTGATTTTCCAGACGCCGACGAGAATTCTCCACAGAAGAAAAAAATGAAGTTCTCAGGAAAGAATAAAGGGTACGGGAAGCACCGAGTTCTGGTGGCAAAACTAGATATACCACTTTCTGACTATTTGATCAAATTTAATAACAATATAAGAGTTAGAGAATTTATGGCCGCCTGGCACACCTGTAGCAAGTGTTCACAGGTATTATTTTTTTTTTTATAACTTCTATATTTTATTTTATTCTTTCAGTGCTATTTCATCATTCGTGCTTTGGGAAATATTTTTCATATGTTTTTCAATAACTTTTCCATGAAGGAAAGGATGACCATTTATTGATACGTGCCATTCAACAATCAACCTTATAATTCTTTCTTGCGTTACTCGTCTAATTATATATTTTTAAACTACTTTAGGCGCGCTTAGCACTTTTGATGAGACATCCGTCACGGTCGACTATGTAAAGATCATTCGAGTAAAATCTGTTCGAGTCGACTAATTTTTGCATTTTTGGATTAAATTATATCAGAAAATAAAAATAGGACCTGCATATTGTAAAACGCTGCAAATTATTTCACAATGGTTTATTATTTTCATACAACTATACATCTAAAGTAACATTACCTTGCTAGTTACAAAGGAAAATAAATAAAAGGTGATTCCAATTATTGGACTAAACTTTTATTTTTACCCATTAGTAATATGCTAAAAAAAAAAAAATAGCATTACTTCAGTAACACATTCAAAATAATTAAACCAAACAAACGATATAACATTTGGAGTAGAACATATTTAAAAAAACTGGGGACCATATCTTTGCTCCTAATTATCCGATTTTAACGATTTTTTTTTTTTTTTTTTTTTTTTAAAGGAAATTCCGTAAACGTTTAAAAACCATATACAATATCAACAAAAAAGAGTATACTTTTTGAGTTATGCGGAATTAAATTTTACAATCCCTCGTACCTTTTTTTCCAGCTTCTTTTCGTTGAAGGATGTTATATAGATAAATTTAACGGGCGTCAAGAAAATGACTTTAGTGAAGTTTCGTTGAAATCGGTACATTCGTTTAAGAGCTACAGCCTATAGCAACGCAGGTTTTTCGGTCGCCATTTTAAAAGTAAAAGGCGGATAGTAATGTCGATGAAGGAAGATCATCCTCAGGTGACCTCTGATTTTATATCCTAATTTGAAATCCACGAAAGGCGGACGGACAAAAAAAGTTTTATTCGTTTTTCGAATTCTACGCATCCTGAAACGTGAAACCTCAAATTCTGAGAGGGGGTTAAGTTTTTGAATTTTTTGTTCGATCACAATGGTTGATTATTGAAAATAATAAACCATTGTTATTGACTATGATTACTGACAAGTATATTGGTTATACCAATTCTTAACATATAGTAACTAAAATAGTCGAGTATTAGTAACTATTTTGCCTTAATTTTTATTCACAAAAACGATTTTATTTTTTGTTGACCAGTCTTGGTCTTGGTCTTGCAACAATTAGGCGGTCTTGGTCTTGACCGATTTTGGGCATGCCTACATGCAGCTCCATTACATTTTTTTTTATTTTATCTACCCACCTTATTTTTAGCCTTCCATTTGGTCTTTTGCCTTCTATCGAGGCATTCATGGTTACGTAGAGGTCAAGATAGATTGCTGATTAAGGTCATTATAGAAAATTTTTTTATTTGAGACAAAGTTGGGAGCATTGAGAATTGAAAATAATAAACCTTGATTATTGAAAATAATAAACCAAAAATTGGAAATGTTAATTCGAACTTTGTAAAATTTATAGTGCACTTACCCCAAAATACTCTAAATTTGGCATTTGTAAATTCTATTGCATAATTAATATTATATTGTATAGTGTTATATGTGTGGTATTTCTTACAGGTGAACTTGGGAGCTAGAAGTGTTGTATTTAAAATGTGTCGTCACATTTTGTGTTTAGCATGCGTGAAGCGTCTAGTTTCCTCACAAAGACCAATGATGAATGCCTTTTACATTTGCCCTGTTCCTCTGTGCGAGAAGTCTGTGTCAAAGACTAAGGTAAGAATACTTTGTAAGAAGGTTATTGCATGACATTAGGCATATAATGGTTCTGGAAACGTTTTACCGGGTCAATTCATTCAGCGTCCCGAATGTTCTTTCCAAGAGCACGAATTGGGTCTTGTCACTGATGAACAAATCGCTCAATCTTCTAGATTAGTATTATATGCAATTTGTCATTTTTAATCTAATTGTGAAATAGGTTCAGTGTTGGAAGTATTTCAAAAGAAACATTTTTCTTTTTTGGAGGAAGGAGATGGTCCGGGGTGTCGGTCATCTCCTTTCTTTAAAGATACACAACGTTCAATTATTAAGTATTTAATAATTTTTTTTTTTTTAATTTCTATCTGAAGCAGACTTATATATTTTCTTATGCTGAAGGTGTCTTAATAAAGTTTTTGGTAATGTGTTTTTCATAACATCAAAAAATAAAATAATTAAAGATTGCAAATAGCATATATGTTTTTGTCATTATAACATCCCGATTAAAATGGTTTCAAAAACACACTATTGTTTCGTGTGATTGGTATACGATTATGTGTTGTATGTTTTATATTACATTCTAGTCAATCAGAACAGCTGTTGTTTGTTAATGATGATAATAAATTATGTTATAGTTTTTTTCTATATAACTATATCATTTTTTACTAGCAGGGGTGCCCAGAAGGGGGTTTCATGGTGCAAGTTGCGCCATCAAAATTTATGTGGGGGCACTTTTTGACGGGGTTTTCAATTTTTGAGGGTGGCACATTTCGACAGGGTTATGAATTTTCAAAATGAAAATTTTTAAATTAAAAGACAAGCGGAAGCATGGAACAGACCGCAGTATGTGTAATTGTATATAATCTACAAATATTTAAATTCAACTTTCGTTTTCACTGTTTTTTAAGAAGAAGAGAGGAATAAAATATCTTGGGAGGGGCGGGGAAAGGTTTATGCTCCATCGGCTTTGTGGGAGATGTGCACATCATGTTACAAGGTATTCATTACTTAATGTCCGCGGTACAGTCGCCTTTTTATTTACGAAAGCTCTCAGGAATTAGGCGTTTTCTATCTGGATATCGGCAAATTTTGTTTCTTTAATGAGGTGCTAAAAAGTCATGAACGCGACAATTGCTTTCCACTTGGAATGTAAGATAATTAAATAACAAAATCGATAAAAAGAGTGGCCTACAAATATATTGGGCCGTTTGGCGCGACCTTTACACTCAACACGTCAACAGTGAGGTTATATAGATCAGACGACGAAATATTTTTCTTGGACAATTTTTTTGCTCCATTTTGTAATGAAATTATCATACGACTCAAGCGGAGAGCGAATGGCTATTCATGAGTTTTTAGTACCCCTTAAATTAATTCATGAAGTTTCAGACGGGGGATAAAAAGGAATCTGTACTCTGGACTAACCATGAACTCCCTGGACTCCCCTCAAGGTAGATGGCCCGTGAACTCCTCCCTTCCATGAAATTTTATTGCTCTAATTCTATTAAAACAGTCCAAGCAAAAGTAGAGTTAGAAAAATTGTAGATCATATATATCTTTACTTGCGGGTCAATCTGTTTCCCCTGATTCACCCCAAAATTCACAACGCTGTCCAAATATGCCCCACTCAAAAATTCAAAACCCCATTAAAATGGCCCCTCCACCCAAAAAAAAGTTATGGCCCAACTTGCGGCCATTCCTTTCCCCGTTAGGGGAATCCCTGTCCGCACCGTGGACAATTGTGTTGGTTAGGGGAAGGTATCGTGGGCATTCGAGAAAAAGTAATTTAGTTCTAAATTGTAAAAAGTCACATTTTATATTAAGGTTTATCTTTTCAATTAGCAAGCCATATATTTTAGTATGATAAACACCACTTAGTCATTCAATATCTCCTTTGACTGTAATTTACTGTCTGGTCATTGTGGCATTGCCGCAAGGATATTGCCTGGATTACTTTAGGTATTATAAAAAAAAAAATCATTAATAATGTTTTATAGGTCCTGTCCTTCCTAGACGACATTCGGGCAAATAGGGCATATGTGACGAAACAGGTATATTCCTTGGCGGAGAAATTAAAGAATACAAAAACGCATGAGGAAGAGGAGCGGCCGAAGAAGGTGGTGGAATGCCCGTCGTGCGGCGGCTCTGTGGACGTCTTTAGTCTTGATGACAATCTGGCCATGTGCTCCTGCTGTGGTAACATATTTTGCTATCTCTGCGACAAAACATACCATGGCATTAACCCATGTCACATAGCTTTAGGTAACTTTTTCCATTTCATACTATTTATTCTTAAATAATAATACTAAAATAAGCATATAGCTAGAAATGAGGCATAAAGTAACTATGTTATAAATAGAAGAATACAAAATACAAAGCCAGGAGTCTACAACATATAAGGTTAATAGTTAACTTGAAAACTTATAACCAATTCAGTCATCAGGAGAGAAAAAACAAGATCACATACATGGAGAAAGAAAAAAATACATGGAAAGAAAGCCATCCAAATACATACTGAAGAAAAGAGAACGTTCTATTAACACATAACAAAAATATAACAATACAAAACGTGTTAAATTAATACAATAAGAGTTATTCTTTTGAATTTATTTATTTGTTATTTAATTTAATTTAACAGGTTAGGAGTGCTATATTTTGGTTATGCATACTTGTTCTTGTACCCACTATCGGGTCTAGGATTTAGTTGTTTTTTTTTTTGGGGAGGGGGAGGGAGGTTCATACCGAAATATTTTTTTAAAAAATATATAGCGATAATTACTTAGGAAGATTAAGAAAGGAGCTAACTACCTATATGAAACAGAGTTTAAGTGATTCTTTAAGTAATATTAAATGTACCTACTCGAACAATAATACTTTTGGAAGTAATTATTAAATATTCCTTTCATAAGACATGGTCATATTTTATCATTTTGGGGGAGGATTCAGCCCGAAAGACTCCCCCCCCTCCCACGTTAAAAAAATTATAACCCAATCATATGACAATTTATAACACTTACTTTCCTTTTTTCTTTTCACTTGTTCTCTTCCTAATCAATTGTTCAATATAACCTTCCTTAGCCGTGTTAATAAAACCTTCTCTTTCCTTCAGGATGTATTTGGGTGGCTTTGCGAAATGTTAACAGCAATCATTTTTTTTTTCTTTCCTTGTTGTTTTTTCTTTCTACATAAATGTGATCTTGTTTTTTTTTCCCCGTAATGATGCCTGAATCGGGGATACGTTGGCAAATTGAGTATTTACCAGTATGTTGGAGACTCATGGCTTGGTATTGTGGATTTTTCCATTTGTAACATTAATATTATTTATTCTTTCATATTGTTTGTTCTTTTAAGTCCAAAAATGTACGTTTTTATATAAATTGTATTTCTTGTCGAATGCCCCGTTTCTTTATTATAATTTTTTTTGGGTTTTTTAGCCTTTTCGTAACTCCTTAAATTAAATTTATTATAAATTTAGGGCTTCAGTGAAATTTTATTCCTCTGTTCTAAATATTTTTGATATAAATTAAACTTTTTTTTTTTTTGGTATAACTTCGCTTTTTGATCTTTGCTACGCAAGGATTTTTAGGTTATAACATACCAACCACTAATAACCTTCCCTTATTAGAAATAGATTTTATAAGAAAATTTGACAAATAAAAGTTTCTACTTATAAATGTTGATTTTTTAATATTTGTGATAAGCATTATATAAATATTTAAATTAGTGCTATTTAATAAATGTTTTTGATTCCTTAAATCATGAAATCCTGCTTACCAAACTCCAAAACCTTTCCTTATCAAATACTGCCCTAAAGTGCTTCCATTCTTTTTTGTATTAAAGATCCCAAAAAGTCATCATTCCCAACAAAACTCCTTCCTCCCCCCCCCTCTTACTAAATTGTGGTGTTCCTCAGAGATGTTAGCTGTCCCCCAGGGATTTTCTCCATCTATATTAATGACCCTCCTAATTCCATCCATCACTCACATCACCATTTATTTATATGCAGACGATCTCCAAATCTACCTTTCCTTCCATCTTACCGAGATGCTTGAGGCGGTATGAAGGTTACAAGAAGATATCGACAGTCTTAATAGCTAGCTGCGCAGCGAACAATGATTTGAAATTGAACGTTGAGATTCTCATTCTCATTCCCATTCTCATTGAATCCAAACTCATGATCAGAATTTGTCCTGGAATAATCACATTTCCCAAATTATCCGAAAGTCCATTGCCACCCTCAAACAGTTCCTAAGATTCCGTGACTCTTTGCCCCTTAAAATCCGTCAGCTCCTAGTTTGCTCGCTCATTTTCCCCCACTTCGATTATGGCTGCCTTGTATATGGTGGACTGTCTGGTGGGCTTGGGATCAGATTAAAGGGGCTAATGAATTGTTTCTCCAGTTGCTATGCCGAGTTGAAGTGGCTCTTTTCAGTTTTTCGATGGTAATATTTCCTAGGTGTATTCCTTTCCCGAACCTTAACAACAAAAAAACCTTCTTACCTTCTTGAATGTATTACTGTATAATCTTCTGCTCATTCGTTCAACACGAGATCCCAATCCTCAAATTTGTTTATTCCTTCTCATAGAACTGTTTCCTTTGAAAAATCGTTCGTCATACGTGCTAACTCGTTTTGGAATTCTCTACCAACCTCTTTACGGAAATCCTCACCCTTTACCTCATTTAAACACAATTTATTTTTTCATCTCCTCAGTAATCAATGTTCCGAATATATTCAAATATACAGTTATTTTGTACTTCAGAGATATCAGCTACATTATACCAATATCTTACGATATACGATGTATATATATATATATATATATATATATATATATATATATATATATACATTAAGTAAATATATATGTATGTGTCATATTGCTATAAAGAAAAAAGTTTAATTTATATCAAATATTTAGAACAGAGGAATAAAATTTCACTGAAGCCCTATATTTATAATAAATTTAATTTAAGGAGGAGTGAAACGCTAAAAAAATATGTGAACTCACCTGTATGTATTCACCTTTAAATTCATATGGCTACTTCAAGACCATATGTTTACTACAGTGTCTTTCTTTATTTTAATATTAAGGTTACACAACTTTGTAAATTAAATTATTTTTAATTGTCATTTAATTATTCATAATCGCCAGACAATTGTCATTTCTTTGTTCATTACTGAGGGGACTAAATGTCCCAGAATAAACTTTTTTTTTTTGGTTCTATAATTAAAAACATGAAGGTCCGAAATGTTTGTATTTTGATATATTTGATACCATTACTGATACTATAAGTATCCATATTTACATCCTTATTCTCTGTATATAAATTCAATTTAAAGGTGTTTGAGTGTTTCGTTAAGATCTTCACACTCTCCAAACATTTTATATTATTACTATCAGCTTAATCGGGTCTTATGCAGAATACTAGCACCAGTGATTAACCTGGCTCATGAGTGATTGACTTGTTCAATTTGAACTATAATAAAAAACAACAACATATAAATATAATATTTAAATTGGAGGCATGAAATCTATCATGTCTTTCTAAATCCTCTCAAAAAGGTCTGCGTTCTTATAGTTCTACCCACTAGCGGATCCAGGATTTAATTTTGGAGGGGGCTTCAGCCCGAAAGATTTTTTTTTCATATACATATAACAATAATTAATTTGAAAAAAAAAAAGAAAGAACTTAACTACCTATATGAAATGGTGTTTAAGTGGTTCTTGAAGTCCTATTAAATGTAATTAAACGAACAAGAATACTTTAAGAGATAGTTTTTAATATTTTTTTCTGTAAAACATGATTATATTTTACCATTTTGGGGGGCTTCAGCCCGAAAGCCCCCCTGTAGATCCGCCTGTGGTTCTACCACCATATAAATTTTCATAAATAGGAGTCAAGATGACAGCTACTGGTCGCACATTCTACTTTGTTAAATGTATATACCAGCCCACATACCTTCTAGAGTATTATTGATAGTTCTTCTTTTTGGACCAAGGAAGCTCTCCTTAAGGTTCACAGTCAGTGAGTATCACTCTATTTTCTTGCAATAACAGGACGTATGGTATATTCTTAATTAGCTGTAAAATTCCCACGTTGATGAACACTGAACTATAGATGCTTATGAACTTAATATTCATAGGTTATGTAACATCATATGTAAAAAAAAAATTAACAAAGCAGTATGATTAAGTGATATAGGTTATGTGGTAACTTGTAAAGATAACTACTTAAATCACTGGGGCCCAGATTCTGCATAAGACCCACTAAACCTTATTCTAAAAATATGTTACTCTAATATGTTAATGTAATAATCGAAATGCTATAGAGGACAAGGTGAGGGTGTTTCTTGCATACTCTTCCGCCAGCGATGATGAAAAAGCCGCGCTTATATACAAGTACGGGCAAAAGCGTTTGTCCCGACTCGTGCTCCAGATGTGTCCTCCAGTAGAGCCTGCCAAAGTTGCCGTAGAACCGATCGAAGTTGATGAGTGAGTCAATGGGTTGAGGTCAGTATTGTTAGCAACCTTGGTTGCAGCACATAGGTTAATGAATTAACATCAAATCCTGATTTATGAATCAGCTATTTTTTTATTTAAGGTTTTCTATTAATCCTTATGCAAAATCATAATATTTTTTTAAACATTGTATGCCATTTGCACATGCGCTGCAGCGCACCTAGCAAATTTGATGTAATAGGCATTAGCTGCGAATGAAATTATAATATAGTTTAAAAATAAACCTGTTCCACTACAACCCATGAAGGGTCTCTTGGGTTCAGTATTAATTAGGTAAAGTACTGTTTCTTTTTCAATAGTTGTGTAAGGAGGTGATTTGACGGTTAGGTTTTTCCCATTCATTAATTATTTAATTAAGGATACCCAGTTTGAATGAAAACTCTTATTTATTAAATACATATTAATTTATTTGTTACTTTAGGTACTTTCCAGAATAAAAAAAAAAACAAAAAAAAAAACATGCAACAATTAAAAAGTTAAAAACAATTAAAGCTCTGGACAGTAAGGGGTTTATTAAATAAATCTCTTAAAAATGTTGGAATAATGTTAAAAAGTTGGTATTTGCTAATTCTAAATGATATATACACCAAAGTTTAATTTTATTAAACATAAAATTGTAATTATGAATATGTTAAGATTGTAGGAGGTTCCTAATTATATAAACTAAAGTCAATTAAGAAGATTGGAAAAGTTGACTAGATGACTAAGCTAATGCCTAGTACATACAAATGTATTTTACCATACTCAATGTTCATATTATAGACATTTTAGTTAATATTCAAAGATAATTATATGTAGCAACATATTCTAAGATTTTATAATTAATTCATGAACACTCTTTAATTTTTATGTGGAGATTTTATTATATTTTCGGTAGCAAATATGAAGTGATGAGTTCATCTCACTGGCTCAAACCTTTAAATACAAATAATACTATGTAACATATTCAGTTGTTTAGTTAACATTTTTTTTCAAATACAACCATACACACACACAGAAAAGATATTTACCATATATATCATTTTATTTTTATATGTAGTATTATATTCTTCGTATTACTATATGCTATTTTAATTATGTTACAATGTATTTTGTAATGTTAATTATCGTTCGTAATATTTGTGCGTAATATAACTTCCCGAAGCCTTATAAAGTAGTTAGATCAAATAAATATGTTTTATTTATTTCATATAAGGTATATAATTCACAATAACGAAAATATTTAGGTGTGAATAGCTCGTAAACAAAGCGTTTGCGGGCATACCTTCAGAGAATTTTTTTTTTTCTTGTTTTGAGGCCCTTAGTTCATTTTTGTAGTTCGGCCACTTAAACCTGAAACACCCTGTATAATATACAATATTTTTATTAATCGACCTTTGTATATTATAACTTAAGATATCAATTATAGTCGGATAATAGATCATGAACTACTTTGCAATGAACTAAAACAGTTTCTATTTATTCTTTTTAATCAAACGTTTCGATCCCTGTTTTTTAACATAATTAATGAGATCCTCTTCGGTTCTGGAAAAGAATACCTATCATTGGTACAACAATTAAAAGTTTTCGGTTTCTTAACAATTAAAAGGTTTCTTAACAATAATATCAAATTATTCTTACTTTTAATTGATCATCGGCACCCCAGGCCGATATACATGTATATACATATACTGCCATGTATTGTAAAGACCGCCGGTGGTATTCATTTAATTATTTTAAAGGTATAAATAAATAAATATCATAAGTGGCCACATCTGGCGCTACCTGTGCGAGGTTAACGACCCACAAGCCCAACCTTTTGTAAGTGGTAATAAAAACCTTTAAGAACCACCGACCAAGACCGACAACTGAGTGTTTAAACAGGATCCCGAAAGATCTTTTCACACCTTCCACCAGAAATATGGAAATCTGTACCTGCTGCTTTACCTTGGCCTGGGGGAGAGGGCGTGGTCATCCCTTAGGCTGAGAATATTCAGCCAATCAGGAAAAAGACTACCAAAAGAGAGGGGGATGAAGAAAGGTGGGAAATAGAGAATTTGGACTGAACACTTCCTTTTGGGACTCAGAGGAGGGGACTTCTCTTTGGGACTCAGCGGAGGAGACTTCAAGCGGAAGAAGTCGAGGGAGGAAGACGAAGACAGCCGGAGAGAGAGATAGACGGACTAGACGCTGAAGGAGAGCAGAGACAGGGAATCCAGATATGACGGCTAGAAACACCTAGAAACACTGTGAAGGACCAGCTAAGTGGTAACAAGCATTTAGTTATACTAATGTAAATTTGTGTTGGCAACCATACATCATTAATTAATATAATCAATATAACACATGTAACTTTAATCAAACATCAAGCATTCTCCTCCAGTATGATTCTCAACTATTCATTATATATATAGGTTTAGTTATTATTTTGTATATAGATGTTTTTGGTTTTATTTAAGCTTGTAAATATAATAGTTAGTAAACCAACGTAGTACTTTTACCATCTACCTTGCATGCCACCAGTTAGATATAGAACAAATAGTAAATTTAAAAACATGATACCTTGAGAAAGGAAATCCAATAAAAATTATATGGTTCAATCTAGGATACTACAGTAGGGGGTCTGTGGTATCTAACATTTAAATACCTAATTAATATATTTTTCTGTAGATCAGTTCCCTTCTGGAACCGATATGAATACAAATATAACTATTAAATACAAATAAATGCGGTTCCTGGAACCCCTTACTCGCCGTAGAAACGCGAGGCCAGGAACATAGCAATACAATCCTCTATTATTAGTTACCATTAATAATAATTCATCTTTTTATTTCCAGGTGTGAAATTGAAGAAGCAAGAAAAGTTGGTTGGTCTTCTCATGTTGGTTATTTTACTTCGTTCTATTATGTTGCTTTGTTTAATAAATATTTGAAGGTTATTTTATGTTTTTCACTACATTTGATGGCTTCAATATTATTATGATCTTTTAATTAATTATACCATCATTTATGACTAAGTTGCAATTGTAGTTTTCTGCTGTTATAAATATTTTCCTAAAAAATCAAAAAATATGTTGGATGGTTTTTAATCTTCTTAACTATATTTGACTTCAGTATTATTATGATCTTTTAGATTAATTATACCATTTATCATGAATAATTTAATATTGTATATTATTATGATCTTTTAATTCATTATAGCATTTTTTTAATAAGTTGTAATTGTATTCTGTTGTTATTATACTATATATATTCTACAAAAATTTTAATAATATAAGGATTTTAATACTTCATACTATATTTGATGGCTTAAATATTATAATGATATTTTAATTAATTATACCATTTTTTATGACTAAGTTGTAATTACATTTTTCTGTTGTTATTCTATATATTTATAAAGTAAAATTTAAAAAATGTTTGAAGGTCTTTCATTGTTTTAAACTATGTCTGATGGCTTTAATGTTATTATGAACTTTTAATTAATTAAACCATTTTTTATTACTAAGTTGTAATTGTATTTTTGTGTTGTCATTCTACATATTTTAAATAAAAAATTAAAAAATGTTTGAAGGTCTTTATTCTTTTTAAGTATATTTTATGCCTTCAATATTATTATGATTTTTTAATTCATTATACCATGTTTTATGAATAACTTGCAATTATATTTTCTGTTATTATTCTACATATTTAAAAAAAAAATTTGAAGGTTTTTAATCTCATGAAGTATATTTGATGGCTTTAATGTTATTATGAACTTTTAATTAATTAAACCATTTTTTATGACTAAGTTGTAATTGTATTTTTGTGTTGTTATTCTACATATTTTAAACAAAAATTTAAAAAATGTTTGAAGGTTTTCAATCTTTTTCACTGTATTTTATGGCTTCACTTGTTATTATGATCTTTTGATTAATTAAACCATTTTTATGACAAGTTGTAAGTGTATATTTGAGTTGCTATACTACATATTTTACAAAAAATTTTAAAAAATGTTTGAAGGTTTTTAATCTTTTGAAGTATATTTTATGGCTTCAATATTATTATGATTTTTTAATTGATTATACTGTTTTTTTATGAATAAGTTGTAATTGTATTTTTCTGCTATTATTCTATATATTTTCAATAAAAATTTAAAAATGTTTAAAGATTTTCAATCTTTTTAACTTTATTTTATGGCTTCAATGTTATTATAATCTTTTAATTAATTATACCATTTTTTATGAATAAGTTGTAATTGTAGTTTTCTGTTGTTATTCTATATATTTTAAATAAAAATTTAAAAAAATGTTTGAAGGTTTTATATCTTTTGAAGTATATTTTTTGGGTTCAATATTATTATGATTTTTTAATGATTATACCATGTTTTATGAATAAGTTAAAATTGCATTTTTCTGCTATTATTCTACATATTTTCAACAAAAAATTTAATAATATAAGGATTTTAATACTTCATACTATATTTGATGGCTTCAATATTATTATGATTTTTTAATTGATTATACTATTTTTTATGAATAAGTTGCAATTGTATTTTTCTGCTATTATTCTAAATATTTTAAACAAATGTTTAAAAAATGTTTGAAGGTTTTTAATCTCATGAAGTTTATTTGATGGCTTTAATGTTATTATGATCTTTTAATTAATTATACCATCATTTATGACTAAGTTGTAATTGTAGTTTTCTGTTGTTATTCTATATATTTTAAATAAAAATTTTAAAAAATGTTTGAAGGTTTTTAATCTTTTGAAGTATTTTTTTTGGGGGTTCAATATTATTATGATTTTTTAATTAATTATACCTCTTTTTATGAATAAGTTGTAATTAGATTTTTCTGTTGTTATTCTATATATTTTAATTAAAAATTTTAAAAAATGTTTGAAGGTTTTTAATCTTTTGAAGTATATTTTTTTGGTTCAATATTATTATGATTTTTTAATTAATTATACCTCTTTTTATGAATAAGTTGTAATTAGATTTTTCTGTTGTTATTCTATA